TTATAACTTTTAGGAGCATATTGTAGAGATCAAAAATATGAGGATTAACTTGTGCAGAATGCCAAAGCTAGGGACGAGAATTGTCATTTTACCATTAACAAAATTGCTTAGAAGGCCAAAAATCCGACACGAAGTTTTGATTCGATGCTTGACTAAAGGTGTTACCTCATTGTTGAGGGTATTAACCCCTTCTGCAATTTTAGCAAGGAGTTGACCCCTTATGTGATTTTAGCGAGTCCGTGGCTGTGGCTATTATTTTGGTGTGGGTCTCACTTCTATTCTAATTAGGTTTTCTAAAATCCTATAAATATCATCTAAGTTTAGAAGTAAAAGGAGAGAGGTTTGGAGGCTGGTGACAGCCTTCTTTTGGGCACTCTTAAAGATTGAGATAGAGAATTTATCAATAATAGAAGATTCTGGATTTTAACTTTCTCAAATTGGGTTTTGTTTTTTCTTAAATTATTTTTATCCATTATTTGATATTATTATGTTCATAACTATGATTTCAAATTTTATTTTTCTTTATAAACTAATTTATTCTACTAGGATTACGATATAGCATAATCAATTTATTATAGATTTTGTGATTTTTATGCTTTCAATTAAAGTTATTTTCATAATGAGTTTTTATTGTTGTACTTAATATATTAAAAGCCTAATCACTTTTCAATTAATTTAGTGATTTATGCATGAACTTGAGAAAGAATTGCATAAATTAGACCAATAACAATATCAACCATGTGTTAGGCTATAAGACCAAGAGGTAATTAGCATCACATGTGGTAGTGGAGAAAGAGAAGAGAGTTAGAAGCTTTCCCTTCTTAAACTAGAGATTTTCATAGAATTTAATACTCATTAGTTGATTTTAAATTACATAAAGATCTGATTAATTTAACAAGTAGGGGAAGGATTAACTTGACTTGAGAAAACTAGTTAATTAATTTAGGAAAATCCACTATCACATGCAATAACCCTCAACAAATCAATTTTGAAAGCATATTAATCTAAAATTTATATTAATTGATTATGGTGAAGTCGATACTTTAGTATTTGATAAGCTGAATTTATATAGATATTAATGTGAAATTTTTGTCTTGGTATTATTGATATTTAGGTGAGTTTTCTAAGATTTTATTTGATTTTACATAATTTTCATTCTTTGTACAGAAAAGGACTTAATTGAAAAAATCATAATTTTTAAGAGCAAATTATAAAGATAAAAAAGCTAGGGATTAAGTTGTGCGAAATTCAAAAGTCAGAGATCATAACTATCATTTTACCATTAATAGAAATTACTTAGAAGGCCAAAAACTTGACAAAGTGATATTAGCTTGCACTTAACCGAAAGTCTCAGCACCTAGTTGAAGGTGTTGACCCCTTGCATGATTTTCAAAAAATCTATTTCTAATTTGTTATTTTGGGTGTGGCTCCCACTTCTATTCCAATTAGGGTTCCTAAAATTCTATATATACCCATCCAAATTCAGAATTGAGAAAGCTTTGGAAGTTAGTAAGCAGCCCTTTTTTTGGGCATTCTTAGAGATTTAAATAGAGAATTTATCAATAATAAAATATCAAAAATTTCAACTTCCTCAAATTGAGTTTTGCTTTTCTTTAGATTTTTTATCTATTGTTTAATATTGGTTTAAGTACCATTTTGGTCCCTCAACTTTCCACTTTAGCACCAAAATTGTCCCTCACCTTTAAAAAGTACCAAAATTATCCTCAGACTTTCATTTTTGGTACCAAAATGGTCCTTCCGTCAGTTAAATGACAGATGGCACGTTAACTTGCCAGCAAATCACTAGATTTTTTTTAATTTTAATGACGTGTAAATTC